CCAGGGTTTCTCTCATATTATAGCTTACATTCTTCTTTTAGGTTTTCTTGTGTATAGTTAAAATATGTTTATAACATTTTATTGTTCTTTGCTTGTAAGTACTGTTCTGCTTTGACAGTATTCTCCTGGAATGTGATAACACGTGGATTTGTAAGTAGGATTTGGTTTTCATGGTGGTGAGTCTGAAGATGACTGTGTTCTGGGTTGTTGCACTATGTAGGCTGGTAGAATTTTACCATTGTTTTAGAGGTCCTTACTGCCTTTATTATCAGGGTGATAAGTAAGTTGCATCGGTGGAGACGGTTATAGTTGTAGGAAACTGACAGTCACGGAAGAACCTTGGCTCTAGCCTTTGAGGTCTAGTATCAGAATCGGGTGAGGGTGTGGGAACCAATAGGAGCATGGGGGCATGAGGACTCATTTCCACTCTCCTTATTCCTCCTCATCATGTCTACCTACCTACCGTATGTCTGGTGATCCACCAGCTGGACTTTGAGGGGCCCTTATATGGGCCACTTTCTGAGACCTCTTTCTCACGCTGTGGCACACCCCCACGCTCCTATTGGTTCTCATGCCTTTGCCTGATTCTGACACAGTTCCCACTGGCTGGGCCAGGGCTCTTCCTTGACTGTCATTTTCCTATAACTAACCATTTCCGCTTGTGCAGCTTACTCATTGCCCTAATGATGGAGGTAGCAAGGACCTCTGAAACATCAGTAAACTTCTACCAGACTACACAGTGCAACAACCCAGAAGACAGCCATCTGTATGTGGATTTGTAGGTATATACCTATGTTTTAGAGGAACATACTACTGTCCATACCTACGAATTTACTTTACCAAGCCAGCAATATCTTTTCTAGCAACACATTCACATCACCACAATAAGATAGAAGAACTAAAAATGTAACATTGTTTCAGGATTCACTACGCCTAAGTATGTAAGAATATGGGGAAATAAAGGGAGACTCCTATGTTTAGTGAGCAAGGTAAATATAATATAAAGAAAGGAAGAGAAAGTTACAACTTAATCCAAACAAACAAACAAACAAACAAACAAACTATCACTTGTCTCCAGCCCAATGTGAGAGAACAAATGAAAAATGTTACTTGATATGTTTGTGGTCTCATTAGAAGCAAAATCCCATAAAGCAACATACTCTATTCTTGAATCTGGATTTGCCATGGAATAACTCCAGAATTATGTCATTTCATTAATTCATTGCACAGGGGACAAAAAAGTTCAGAACTCTGAATAAAATGGGTTTTAGCCATCTTTTAATGCTTGCTCAAAATGTTGGAAGTTCTCACTGTCCGTAAGAAATGCATACACTGAAGTATCAGAAGTGTAATTGCCAACTGAAGGTCAGCCCCCTTCCATGTGATTGAGACATGTTGTAAGGGTATAACACAATACTTAAAAATCTGTGATTAATTTTTTCTTATTCCCTTTCCATTATATATTTGTATTGTTTGTAAAAATATCTTTCTTGGAGATAATAGTTTCACATACACTATATTCTAGTACTTGCAGGACTAAATGATGATGCTGACTTACAAATTAACCACATTTTAATTGCCTATGTTACAGAGTTTATGTATTTATGGGTGGGGAATGTTACTTTCATTTACCTGAATGTAACCATTATTGATCATATGTCACAACTTACACAATTTCCAGCAGGCTGCTCATCACATTAGTATACTCCTAAACCATTAATCCTGGAGTTGAATTCCACCTGGTAGCCCTGTAGTACAGGGGTTTAAATCCACTGTTACCATATTATAGAGATTAAAATATAAATTACAGAAAACAGTTGTTTTCTGCTTGTAGTGATGAGTGAAACTATTTTGTCAGTCACTATTCAACACAGTAATAAAATAAAATGCATGTAATTACTGCTTTTTCACATACTTGCTATTATATTGCTTTCCTTATGTATTAGACTTAAGAGATATAAATAGTGTACTACGTTTGGTACCTACTGCTGCACTTCTATGCATCAGGAAACTTAATTTATGTTATTAATTTGTAATTTCTGTATATTACAAATCCTTTATAGTATTAGAGTGAATGTGCATGAAACAGAGGATACAAAACTTCACCCTAGTGAAGGATTTTTCATTCATATTACAGTATGATCCCTTCTCTTATATTAAAGTGAATATATATTTTGAACTAATGGGGTTTTCTGTATTTAGTTTTCTCAGAATACAGTATTCCAGATATTAAATAAATGCAGATGGGTGCTCTCTCTCTTTTTTTTTTGGGGGGGGGGGGGGGCACAGTTGTAAAAGGGAAAAATCTGGTTCACAGAAAAATTTCACAGTCATGCCACATATTACTAACTAAATATAATGAAAGATACAATATAACATCTTTCCACTAAACTTCTTACCAGTATACATTATTAACAAAAGCAAATACTTGTCCTTGCCGTTCTTGATCCAGCCATATTTACTTATTGCTGAGACTGGAAATTTGCCATTTATTCTCACTGTGACATTTGTGACTCCCTTCTCTAGAAAAATGTTTGAGTTGTGAGGGATTTACTCCATTACTATCCAGGACTGAGCTCTGTAGCCCCATAAAATGTGATGTGGGTGGTGGCAAAGAGAAGGAAATATATCTACTATTCTACTATCCACGTCACAGAGTTTAGGCTGTTAGTCGCCAGCTTCTCTCTGCAGAGGCATATTTTGAGGGTGGATACTAGTTGTGTACACCAGTTAAGCAGTATCCTCCTGATTGGCTCTGTTGCTTTTCCCGATTCTGCCTCCTCTCATCCGTACCTCTTCCTCCAGGGCTATAGAGCTTGGACCCGAACTGTAGTAAGGTATTTTAAGATCTTTATGAAGTAATGTGAAAATGTTATGTTCAAGTTTTATTATTACACAGTATTTGTTGTCTGGATTAGATTTTATTGGTCAGAAGGCTAGAATTTGTGTTTCAGGGGACTGCAATGAGTTGCTAAATAATAATTTTGGTCTTTACTTCCATCTCCAGCATTAGAGGTTAATAGGAGTTTCACCTTCTTACCCTCATTCTCATATACCAAAGATAGTTCAGTGGAACTTCATTCAGTATGTTATAAATTCACATAAAATTCAGGTGATTAATAAGATAATTCTGAAACTTTGTGTGTCCCCGACTTCAGTGCTTTGTGAATTAATTTGTGAAAATCAGTCTATATTAAATTAGAAAACTATAATTTTTTATAAAATAGCCATTTTAACATTCTTAAATATGGGTGTTTGAACACTTTCCTTTGTAAATTAATATCAAGTTTTAATTTATTGCAAAAGAACAAAATAGTATGTAATATACAACATTATGTATATTAAAAATTACTAAATAGAATCTTCAGCAACTGATCATAATCACTGAAGGATTGTAATTTACCCTTTTCATGGGAGAATGTCAATGTGCTATGTTATATAAATGTAATGCCGACTTACTTGATGTATGCTGGGAAATATTTGATTATTATCTATAGGATGTTTGGATGGATGGCATATGTAAACATATCTTCAGCTTTTTGCACAAATTTTTATTAACGTTAACAAATATATGTGCTTACTAGTTCCTGTTTTTCCCTTCAATTAGTCATTGCTTGTTTCATGCACACAGACATTAGTGAATTTAGCTTGTGAGCTGGGTAATCATAGTGCATAAATTTGGAAATGTGACCTGAAAAGAGGTGTGGTATCCTTTTAGTTAACAAATGATTTATAGTTGAATCATGGGGACGGACACGTTACAAATGTAAGGTACTCCAGTTTTTTTGGCTACAAATGTGAACATATTATTTTACATAAAAATATGGTATTTATTTATTGTTGCTGTGTTAGATAAGTTTTTAATATACATTATAGCTAAATTGTGATGATCTGTTAATACCTAATTGTTTTAGCTAATACATGGCTTCTCACATAATCCAATATATGTACAGATTGGAGAAGCATTTATTCGTAATTTTAAAGATATACTAGTCAGCCACAATTCATTAAAATTCATTCAGAGTAATGTGATTTGAAAAACAAGTGTTTGCCATTATTGAGGAACATTATAACAAAGTTACATCTTAAAAAATAACACCTGCCAGATGTCATCCATCAAGATTGATGCACTAATGCACTTAATTCATAACACTACGCACAGTTACATGACTGGTGATTTAGCATTAATTCTTCATAAATTCTGTGTTTGAGATTATTTAATTCTGCTGGATGTGTTTGAATCACTTCACTTTTCAAGTAGCTCCTTAAAAATAAATCACAAGCTGATAGTTCAGGTGAACAGGCTGGCCCAGAAATCTTGCCATAGTGGGAAATTATTCGATGTCGAACACAGTCCTTAAAGTGTTCCTTGTCTGCTAAGCAGCGAAGTTAGGAAAAAATTAATGTCGTAACACTGGCCATGTTACTTCAGTAATAGAAAGTGTTATGAGTGAAGTGCATTACTGCATCATTCATAGATGACATCTGGCAGATGTTATTTTTGAGAAGTAACTTCGTTATAATGTTCCTCAGTAATGGCAAACACTTGTCTTTCAATTCACATTGCCTTGAATGAATGTGGATAATCTATGGTTGACTAATATATCTATAAAATTATAAATGAATGCTGTCCGTCTGTTTATGTATATAGTGTATAAAATTCACTGTCAGGGGAAGTGTGATTTGTAGCATTAATGTTCCAAACTAGACTGGCTTCTTCTTTAAAAAAATTATGCATTGTACTGAGATTTTACAAATTTTGTCCCATCAGGCAGAAATCAGAACTAATTTTAAATGTTTCTGATGTCAGACACTATAAATTAAACAAATGTCAACAACAGCAAGTTAATGCAAAAATGTGGCCTACCATTGAGAAAGAAATATAAAATTCAGCATTGAAACAGGTTATATTTCTTATGCAGTCCTTGAATAGAATCCAGGATGACTTTTGAGAAATTATAAATTGAAAAATGTGAAAAGGATGATTTGTGTAACTCTTTAGTTTAAAAACTTTAAGAGAAGAGGACTGTAGAGGGTGTATTTATAAAGTTTTCAGTAGAGTAACATACATCAGCCTTAAATAGCTACTCTGTCTTTACATTAATCTTTAATTTATAGAAGCTGTTTTGGTCAATATGGTGAGACCTTATGGCATAAGGGAGTGTAAACAATGCATTTACAGTAATGTTTGAGCATCCAGATAGTGAATTTTGATTCAGTGTCTGTTTGTGTCGCAGTTAGCTATCCGTAATGATATAAAAGGTGGAAAAGATAAGATTATTTTGCATAGTCCTACATGAAAAATACTAGGATGACTTTGGATCCACTGACAGGTAATTACATAATTTTAGGCCCTTCTGAAAAGTAATAGGATGGCATGTCACCTTTTGTTCCTTCTGAAGCACCATTTCAGTGGTGTACAAATGCGTTTTCAATGGGAATGGTATTTGGTGTGCTTACTAATTCAAGGGATTGTTAATTATGTTTTGTGCTTCATGCTTAAATACTTGGTGAAACATAGTAAATATGTAGTGCTTGATGCTTTTCGTAAAAATTGTTAAAACATTTTGAGTATTTATTTATGTACAGACAATTCAGGGCTTGAAAAATTATGCCTAGTTCTGTTTACCAATTAAAAATGCATTTGCCACCTGAAAGACTTTAAAACTTTGCTATCATCATCATCATCATCATCATACTTTTAGCCTTTCTACAGTGACAAAAATAAAGATGTTTTTGTGGTGTCATAGGGACGTCTGAGAAATTAGCTCTTCATACGAAAGCAATCATTAACAGTACAATATGAAAATGTCAACTGTATTTAAAAATACTGTAATCTATCATTTAGTGCTAGTAAGGCATTTTAACCTTTTTTAATTTCCTATATCTGGCCAGTTTTTGGATGACAAAACAGAAAATAATTACCCGAAAATATAGTGCCAGCATATTAAGATCACTTAATAAAAGAGGGAAAACTGAAACAAAGTTCATTAATATAAATTACTGTTTTGAATTTCTCTTCACCACATTATAAAATCAACTTGCCTCAGGCAAGTAGCTGATATTGTTTTTAAGCATTGGATGTTGTCATCCATTGATACATGAGCTAGTAACCTACTAAATCAAAGAGGATGATATTCCAGTAATGCAATATTACCACAACTAAATAAAGCTTTTAACAAAAATCTGGTTGCCTGTTTCCCAGCTAGTTGTTCAGGTAAGAACTTGTTGTAAATACATTACATAAAAGAATTCTGTAATGAAAATAATTACCGTCCACATTTCTATCTTAGAACAGAAAGTAAATATGTGTAGTTGTATAATATTAATTGTATGTCTGAATATTTGTGATACCAATGCAGTGCATATATACATATGTAACTGAATATAATGATATTAGTATGATATTGTATTCAAAATATGTTAACATAGCAGAATTTATGTGTGGTAGGATTGAAGTCAAAGAAATATTTCTTGTATATAATACACTTTTCACTATTAATGTTCTTATCCAGTTGTAATATAGTAATAGGGTACATTAGTATGTAATTGAATGTATGGAAAATAATTTAGTGTATATTTTCAATATCTGAATGAATTCCATGTATTACATAGTAAGTAGATGTTCCATATGGACCATTTTAAGTGCAATTTTGTATATGTTGAAAGTATTGAACATTTGTGTATTAATATGCTGTAAAGTACTGATAAAGTTTCGGCTAATGTTTTTATGATATTATATATGATGAGATGATAAGAAATGCTGTCTTATTATTCAGTTATAAATAAGAGTATGCTACACAACTCTATAAAAGATTATTTTGTTTTAGACAGATACATGCTAACTTTTCATCAGGCCTTTCTGAAGTAACATAGGTATGGTTAACCATACATGTTTCAGATATTGAAGTGTTGTCCATGGACATCAGGGCCAACGCAAATCGAAGTACTGCTACAGATG